CAGCGCTGTGCCTCAAACACACTGTCTGCTCTACAAACACATTTACTCAGGCCTCTCCTGTCAGCCTTCATTCCTAACACGAGGGCAAATGTTGTTCGATTTGGCAAACACAGCCCTTTCCTGCCCTTAACAACCAATGCAATCTGAATACAAAGGGTAGACGTGCCAAAACAGCACATTAACAAATATTGACCTCCGACTGGTGTGTTACTGCATTATTTGACTGTGTGTTTCCCCCGGCTGCGCACACAACTGCACCGTTTACAGCAGGTCACACACAAATCCAATGGCATTTTAAAAATGTCACGATTAGGAACTTAAGGGGCTTTTTATACTCTTCAAGTGAAATTCTGCTGTGTGAAAAGATTCAGTTCCTTTTTTTGTGTCCCATGAGGGTTTTTTGTGTGTAAACAAGAAATATGGAAATGCTTTCAGTGGAAAGCTCTTAGAATGAGTGATCGTTAATGGGAAATATGAAATATTGATCTTTTTTTAATGACAGTGCAAATAGGAAATGGAACAAGAAATATTAATAGAAAATATTTTAATAATCTTTATTTTAGAAGAAATGAAATCAAGTTATATATCTTAAGTCATATTTCTTCTAAAATAAAAATGATAAAAAAATAAATATTGATATTTAATGTTTTTATTTATATATATATATATATAAACAAATATAACTTGATTTATAATTAGTTATTAAATAATCTTTATTTTATTCAGGATAGTGTTATTTGAAAATAGACAAAAAAAGTTGCCAAATAGTAAAAAAAAAAAAAAAGTAATATTAAAATATCTGTATATATTTTAAAATGTAACATTTTATTATTAATATGAAAAATTACTGTTTAATAATATTTCATACTTTTATTGTTTGTCAAAGTTTTCAAATCCTTAAAAACAATTCATATAGGCCTAGTTTAATTATAAATTATTTTTCAGTTAATTTTTTGTCAATAATATGGAAATAATTCCAGAATGAGTGATCATTACCTAAAATATTATTATTATTTTATTTGTGACACTGTCAATGGTAAATGTACCAAAAAAAAAAAAAAAAAATTAATATATAATTTTTGGACCAAAAATGGACCAAGATTAAAGTTGCTCAAGCATTTGTAAATATATGAATATTACGAAACAATTATATTTAATATTGAAATAATTTAATACAAAATGTTATGTAATTCAAATATTTAATATCTTTAATATGTGTCAGTGTTTTTAAGAGCCTTCTAAGAAAACCATTATAAATGTAGTCTTTTTTCTCTCTCTTTTTTTATCTTGTGGACATAGTGGGTTTTTAGGGAAATGTTTTTAGCTGAAAACTCTCAGAATGAGTGATATAAATGTTTACTTTTGTCTTATAGATGCTCGGTCAGTTCATTGCTCGAGCTGTCGCAGACAACATCCTCCCAAAAAGCTTCATAGACGGCTACAAAGGACGAGTAGATTGTGAATACGCCAGGTACTGAGTGTTTTCCTCTCAGCGTGTCTCTTCTGTTTTGATTGTGAGTTTGACGCCGGTTTGTGTCGTTTCATCAGAGCTGCTCTGGATCGTGCGGCCGTGCTGCTGAGAATGAGCCGATGGACCGGCCTTCGCATCGACAGCCTCTGGGGTTCAGGCGGTGGCCAGAGACCCGTCAATCAACTCATCAAAGAGGCAAGGACACACCCATTCACCGCCTACCACGTTCCATAACATCATCCTTTGTCTATGAGCTGGAGGATTTTATGGCATATTGAGCAACACCACATGCATTCAGCTTCTAACTCCGGATTGCATAATGGTTGTTGTTGCAGGTTAACCTCCTGTTGAAGGAGTATCTGTTATCAGGTGACACGGTGGAAGCTGAGCGCTGCTTGAGAGAACTGGAAGTCCCACATTTCCATCATGAGTTCGTTTATGAGGTAATAACGGCAACAAAACAGGGATTTAAGTGGAAAGCTTGTGTCTGATTATTAAATTTTTTTTTCCCTTTTTTTTTTTTTCCCAGGCAGTTATCATGGTTCTGGAGTCTAAAGGCAACAGAACGCTTCAAATGATCCTACAGTTGCTGAAGTCTTTCTGCGCCTCCACGGTCATCACTGTGGACCAGTTGAGACGGGTATGCTGGTCAGTTTGAATCACTGCAGCTTTAAAAGCACATCTACAGTGAATGCTGTCCTCTTGCAGGGCTTTGAGAGGGTGTATCTGGACATGGCAGATCTCAGTATTGACGTGCCGTGTGCGTATTCGCTTCTGGAGCAGTTTGTGGAGCAGAGCTTTGATGCTGGGGTCATCAATAAAAAACTCAGAGACCTCTGTCCTTGTCGGTGAGTGACGTGTTTTTCTTTACCTGCACTTTATAAAAAATTATATAATAATAATAATAATAACTTTTATTATTATAAAAAACCACACACACACACACACACATATATATATATATATATATGTATAATAATGTTCATCATATTATTACAATAGTTGTAATGTATAAACACTGTTGATATAATTATTAGTATTACTGTATATTTATTCTTATTAATAATAAATATAAAAATGTTAATTACATCAAAAAAAATGTTTTGCCATTTCTGATTAGCGGTAATGTATAAACGTTTTTTTATATATTACATTATTATAATAATTATATTAAAAATCTAAATTATATTAAAAGGAAAACATTTATTACTATTAGTGTAATAATGTTGTCGTATCCAAATTAACGTATTCTTATTATTGTATCTGTTTTATTTGCTCTATTTCATTTTTCCTTCTTTGTCAGGGGCCGTAAGAGGTTCATCAGTGAAGGAGATGGCGGGCGACTCAAACTCGAGAGCTGCTGAGTTCAGGATTCCTGCAAGCCATTTCTGTGGCAGCTGCTCCAGTCTTGACGTTCGCCGGAGTTCTGCATTTCTTTAAGTTGCTTGTATTTGTCATGAAGGTTTAAGTACTAAAACCTTTCCTCCTGTCAGAACACAATGTGACCGAAGGGCCAGGCACTTTCCGATCTGAAGGAGACGTAATTTCTGATGTGACTTGTATAAGCTAATCCTGAAAGTGCCACACTTATGACGTAGTCATTCCATGTTTTGTATTCCTGAGTTCACTGCCACTCCTGTTGTCCAGTCTGCAGTGTTTGTAGAGACTTGCAGATTTGTGCACATAGCTTTATAAGTGGGGAGGGGGGCATGTAAGTTCAGAGCTCTTTCTCCTCCTGGGCTGCTTTTGTATACTGTGCTTGAGTTTATTTTTCCCTTTATTTCCTCTGACTTTTCAAAGATGTCACTTCTGATGGTTGCTGACGAAAGGACAAAACTGAGCAACGCAAAGCAGCTGGGATCATTTCACAGAAGTGTCCAGAGCATTTATTTTTATATTTCAGTAGACTGGTGGAAGTGAAATGTACCGAACTTACTTGCTCTTTGTTCAGAATGGTTGATGAATAAATAATAAAAAGCTGTTGTCGTCATCGATTACTGGTAATGACATGGGAGGGTGTTGTATGTAGATAAGATAGATATTTCAAAAAGAAAATTAATACGTTTTTTGGGGCGGGGACATTAATGTCATGAATGTCCATCATGACTATTAAAACCAGCATGAATTACAACAAAATAATATTTTATATATTATTTAGCATTTGGAGTGAAATATGACTAAGGCATTTCCTGAAATATAACGGACTACAATTTATATAACTAGTGATTAAACACTGAGGGTGGACAATAAATGATAGACATAATGCAAAGAGAAATGGAACAAAATATTGAAATGAATGCATTTTTTAATCAATATTCACTACGTATTGAAAACAGTAAATGTTTATATTCCATAATCTCAAAATAGCTAAATAACGGCCAAATTATATAATGCCTTCTTCTCAATCTTCTCACCAAGGCTGCATTTATTTGATCAAAAATACAGTAAAACTGAAATACTACAATTTTAAAATATCCATTTTCTATTTTAATATATTTTAAAATATAATTTATTTCTGTTCTGGCAAAGCTGGATTTTTAACAGCCATGTTTTTGTGGAAACGGTGACACTTTTTGTTCTTTTTACTTACTGAATAAAGTATACATTTCTTTCAAAAAAAAAAAAAAGATGTAGTTTTGAAGATAAATATATATTTAAATATGACATTTACAAAGTGGAATGTGAAGACCTGTGCATAACCCCAATTTCATGCATTAATTAGCTGCCATTTTATTCAACAAAAGCCCATTTTGACAGTGACATAGTTTTATATATATATATATTTTATTTTTATTTTTTTTTTTTAAAAAGCTGAATTTGAGAATATAGCCACTGAGACCATGCAACAGAGCTGCAACTGTTGTAAATGAACTTGCTGGCATCTGAAACTGAACTAAATAATCATTCCTTATGAACTAAAGCATACATAACCTCATGCATAAATATGGTTTCTACCAAATGAACAAACAAAAAAGAAAATCTTTCATATGAAAGTTGGCCTGTGACTGACTATACTAGTGATATGTGCTGATATTAGGATGTGATGGAAGTGTGTACTTCATCCCTCAGAAGTGTACCCTACTCTGCTTTCTCAGGCTGTTGCTGCTCCTTTAAAGCCCGTTCTTGTTGTTTAATGAGCTCCTGAGCTTCCTGCTGCATCTTCTCCAGTTTCTCCAGCGTCACTGACTTCAGAGGGAGGAGTTTGGGTTTGCACAGGACCATGGTGGGAACGTCCTCCACGGAAAGCTGACCTGCACAGATGAAACACAAGGCTGGCTAATATACGCACACAACCCACATGTGCTGGCTGTCTGCAACAAGATACAGACTAAAGTTCAGCTGTGGATTCCAGTGCTGCGGTTGTTTTGGTTGTCATGTGGGACATCTTTCAACTCAGTCTGTACAAGGGTGAGATTTTGAAAAGCTGCGTGCTACAAAAAAATGCAAGTCTGCTGAGCAAAACACAACAACAGCAGTGGAAAAACTCACCTTGTTTAGGCAGAACCTCTCGAAACATTGACTTCACTTCAGGCATTGTGCTTCAGCGAGGAACCCCTTAATGTAATGGGGGGGAAATCATTATTAAGCATTAATATAGCATGATAGATAGATAGATAGATAGACAGATAGATAGATATTAGTATTGTATTATATTACATTTTAGGATCCAATAATTACCATGTACCATTAGTCACATACAGCACATATAAAACAACATATACACACATACATCTTAATTCACACATAAAATCCTAAGAAATATATTTCTTTTTCTTTCAGTTTTGAGGTGAAATATGCAGGAACGTCTTCGTGAGGTTTACCTTATTAACTTTATTATGTGTGGCCGGATTTCTATTAGCTTCTTGACTAACGGCAAGCAATGGAAGGACAAACGTTACTGCTCATAAACGACTGTTAGCTTACTATACATTTACAAAGACAGTGCACTGTAAATGACAATAAATAACCATAAAGAGCATAAAATACGCTTCACTTCGTGGCTTTACCGTTGATCTCGTCAGCTGGTGTTACACGCACTTCCGGTTCCGCTCTTCCTCTGCTGCCGCCTGGCGACGCTGACACGCTATTAGCCGCGGGTCTCTATAATGCCCTCTGTATATAAGGCAGTCAACGGTGACGGTGGGGATCATTTTTCTGTGGTTTATTATTTTACTATAATCAATAAATATTGCGTTCATAAAGCGAGCTGCCTGAAAGTCAGACCTACGGCTGTTTGAATTTGCCATAGAAATGTTTACAGTAGAATTACAGACTTTGTTTCGCTTCACAAAATCTACTCGGATTTAAAAAAAAAAAAAAAAAAAAAAAAAAAATTCTTTCTTAATTAATTAATTAATTAACTGTAATAATTATTATTATTGCTGTTGTTGTTATGGTTATTGTTATTATTTTATTGTTGAGTTTTAACACATATTGGTCATTTTCACTCCATTGTTGTTGTTGTTGTTGTTGTTGTTGTTGTTGTTGTTGTTGTTGTTGTTGTTGTTGTTGTTGTTGTTGTTGTTGTTGTTGTTGTTGTTGTTGTTGTTGGTGGTGGTGGTGGTGGTGGTGGTGGTGGTTTTTATATTGATAATTTTACACTCGAAAACCAAAAGAGAATAATTATAAATGTTATTTTACAAAAATACGCCTATTCTAGAAATTTATTTATTTATTGCTGTTGTTATGTTATGGTTATTATTATTATTTTCTTGTTGGTTCTGAACACATCTGGGTTATATTTCACTTCAAAAATATTATTATTATTATTTTATTGTTAGTTTTTTAAGACGTATTGGTCACTCCAAAAGAGAATAATAATTAAAATTTTTATTTTACATAGCTAAATTACACCTAATTCTAGACCAGTATTGTTATTATTATTATTATTATTATTATTATTGCTGTTGTTGTTGTTATGGCTATGGTTGTTATAATTTTATTGTTGGTTTTGAACACATCTTGGTTGGTTATATTTCACTCCAAAATTATTATTATTGCTGTTGTTGGTGGTGGTTTTTTAACGTATATTGATAATTTTTCACTCGAAAATCAAAAGAGAATAATCATTAGAATGTAGGTTTTGAACACATCTGCGTTATATTTCACTTCAAAATGATTATTTTTATTATTGTTATCATCATTATTATGGTTATTATTTTATTGTTAGTTTTTAAGACGTATTTTACATAAAATACAATTATAATATTATTTTTGTTGTTTTGTGCAAGTGTGATTAAAGTACTGAATTTCATTGCTTCACTTGTGTTCAGCTACATCTGAATATATGCACATTTATGACAGAAAATAAAACGCTACTTTCTCTCCTGATGCTGCGATATTTCCAAAACAATAATCAAGCGGAGCTCCAGAAGTCTCGAGACGCGTCTGTAATGCGTGCGTGTGACGCCCGCCGGAGAGGGGAGCGCGAGCTGCAGCACTGCTGGAGAGGAGGAGGACACGAGGATGGCGGAGGCACACCTCTGAAGGTAAAGCACTTTTACGGCTCAGAGTCGCACCTTCCGCGGCGCGGGGTTGATGCTCGGCACGATACACGTCCGCGTTCTGCGGTCAAGCGCGATCGACGCGCCGCTGTCCGCGCCCGGTGGGTTTGAATGCACGCTTTTGTTCAGTCCCGGAATGGCCGCTGCTTTATGTGTGTGTGTGTGTGTGTGTGTGTGTGTGTGTGGAATGTGTTTTCTTTTTTTACATATTCCGTAGGCTTGCGAAGAGAGAGAGAGAGAGAGAGAGATAGAGAGAGAGAGAGAGAGAGAGAGCCAGCAGAAAACATCAGAAAGCCATACAGATGGGCTGAAACAGCGCTGAAGAATATCAGAAAGCACTAAGCAGCCAAAAAATACAAGCGCTGGTAGATAACTTTCTAAATAACACCTATGCTCACACTAACGAGGGGTGTCAATCTTGCGGTCAAAGATATAAATTACATCTTTGAAAAATCAGCAAAACAATCCAAATTGAAAACAAAAAATGGAATTTTTTTCTGCTTAATAACTTCAAACCATTCAGTTCTTTTTTTGCTATTTCTTGCACCATTCACATTCAAAGATGCAATACACACTTCAGTCATGCTCAAAAATAAAAAGCAAAAAGACAGACTGCTTTGAATCATATTCATTGAATTAAACTTTTTCACTGCCATCATTCAAATCCACGTTAAGTTTCCTCACTATTTTCTTTAACTGATACACTTCTTTATTTGAAAAACGCCCTTCAGCCATAAAACTTTTATCAAACCACCCCCTACAAAAGCAAAAACCCCAAAAAGAAAAAAGATCCAAACTACGAAACCCCAAAAAAAAACTCACAACGCTCACAGAGAGATAGAGAGAGAGAGACAGAGAGACAGAGAGATAGAGAGAGAGAGAGAGAGAGACAGAGAGAGAGATAGAGAGAGACAGAGAGAGAGAGAGACAGAGAGAGAGAGAGAGAGAGAGAGAGAGAGAGAGAGAGAGAGAGAGAGAGAGAGAGAGAGAGAGAGAGAGAGAGAGAGAGAGAGACAGAGAGAGAGAGAGAGACAGAGAGAGAGAGAGAGACAGCCTACCATTTACAATATTGCGAAAGCGTATAAAATACTTCTAGCACACAAACATTTATTTAAAATATATAAATAAGTTATACTAAATGCAGAAAAGACAAAAAAAAAAAAAGACAGAGACACGGTAACAGAAAAAAATATAAATTAAAAGGAAAATAAATATATATTTATAAGTGTCAGTTCAACAGACAGCTGCGCGCTCACGCACACCAGCGATATGCGATTCGTGAACGAGTCTTTTGAATCGGATCTTTTCAGTGAATTGATTGAACCGGTTCAAGAAAACTAAACCGTTTGTTTACGAGTTGGCCAAAACAATTCGTTGTTTTCCCAAACTTTTTTTTTTAACTGACAGAACACACTTGTAAAAACTAACAACTAACGTTGTTTACAGAGCAATTTGCACTTCTTGTGAATATCTGTTCATTTAGTAGTCCATATGCAACATATGACACAATTCAGTAATTGCAGTGTTTCTAATTAAGTGATAAACAGCAGTATCAAACATTTGACAACTTTAGGCCCCGATCAGACAGAACGCTTTTTTAAACTTGTTTTCTATTGGGAGTGAGCGTTTTGCGCGCTGTTTTTGCATTTTTGTAGGAGTGATCTATTTCGGTAGCGGGGGGCACTGCAGAAAAACTGTGGGGAAACACACACACACCCACACACACACACACACACACACACACACACACACACAATTGAGCTAGTTTTGATTAGCAGTTGTGCTGCTTTTGTTTCGCAGTCCTGGCAACCCTGAAGTCACCAGAGAGCAGTTTGTCTCCGGAAGGTCCAGTTAAACTTTACAAGGTCAAAAATGCACAATTGAATTGTTCATAATAAGATCTATAATATGGATTTAGAAAATAAATATGGTAAGCTTCAGTGTTGGGGAAAGTTACTTTTAAAAGCATTACAATATTGTGTTACTTTATAAAAAAGTAACTAATTAGCCTACGTTATTTTGTTACTTTTTATGGAAAGTAATGCGTTACTTTTTCTCATCTGCCTTGCCCCTCATTTTTCTCTCTTCAGAAACAAACAAACCAAAAAGAAACACAAATGTTATATTTACCTAAAGTCATTTTAGCTTAATAGTATGGTTGATCATTGAAGGTCAGCAGCAAAGATACTGGTTAATAAAATGGAATTAAATCATGTCCTGAGTTTGCATTTGACTGCTTTTATTCATTGTGAGGAATACTGAATCTGTTTTTGTGTGAGTGAGATGAGTAAAGTCATGTTGACATTTAGTCTAGAACTAACCATCATGTTCACACAGCGCACACAACGCCTCTGCTCCTGATTTCTCTCAATATGCGGACAGGAGAGCTGTCAGTCAATACATGAGAAAACAAAGTAACTGGCGTTATTTTAAAAAGTAACTCAGATATTTTCTTGTAAATTAAAAAGTAATGCATTACGTTACTAGTTGCTTGAAAAAAGTAATCAGGTTACGTAACTTGCGTTACTTGTAATGTGTTAAGCCCTGGTCACACCAAGAACGATAACTATAAAGATAACTATAAAGATAACAATATTAGTGTCGGCGCCAATGGCTTCGTGGGCAGCGTGCTGATATGTAAGTGCCTTTGTGCTTCGGGCGTCCCGAGTTTGAGTCCCGGCTCTTGGACCTTTTGGCTCGTGGACCTTTCCTGATTCCACCCCCCTGTCTCTCTCACCCACTTTGCTTCCTGTCGACCTACTGTCCTATCTAAATAAAACGCCAAAAATAAATCTTAAAAAAAAAAATAAAAAAAAAAGATAACGATATTAGCGTTCACACCAGTGAACGATATCGTCTGTTTATTCCAAGGCCATGTGCGTCTGCCGCTTTAAATTCTCAAGCTCGTGACAGCAGGATTGATTCTGATTGGCTGTCAATGTTTTTATCAGCTGGAAAAAATCGTTCTGGAAGTGATTCCAACGATATCGTTTCTCTGTGCCTTTATCGTTATAGTTGTGGTGTGAACTATGCTATTCTTTAATATTGAGAACGATTTTTAGAACTATATCTTTATCATTATCTTTATAGTTATCGTGCTTGGTGTGAACGGGCCTTTACACCCAACAATGGTAAGCTTTAATTTCATCCCGACTTGCTGATTGCTGATTCTGGCTCTTTGAACCGATTATTTTAAACGAACCGTTCGAAAGAACCGATTCACGGAAAGCGAGCCGGACTTGCCATCCCTAACGCACGCGCTCGCGCTGCGGATTGAGCTCTTCCCGCTTCGAGCGCGAGCTGCTCCGAGTGCTGTTAGGCGGATGACAGTCTGTTTTCACAGAGGGCCTGTCTGAAAAGAAGAACGAGCGTTTGCACCTTCAGCTACGGGAACCGAGTCTTTTTTCGTCGAGATGAGACCGCTTTTTCCCCAAATGTACGCGTTTGGTGAGAAGTGTGAGGTGACATTTGTGTTTTGTACAGTTTTTGTGTGTGAGCTCGCTAATGCTAATGCTGTTAGCCGCAGCTGAAGGGTGGCTAATGCTAGCAGAGAAATCTCCTAAGCCAGCCTTCAAG